CCCTGGTTATTACCTTTTTAAAGGGTTGTTAATACAAGAACTGTAGGCAGTAGACCAACATGCCCCACAATGTGTAAATTATTTACTGTCTGACTCTAAGAAAATGTTGCCAACCCGAGTCGAGGGGAGCCAGGGAAGGATATAAAGGAAAGGGAATGTGGTTTGTCATCATGGAGTGCCATGTGAACACACACGTTGGCGCTCGACTGCACCGGAAGACCTCACGAGGTTGTCACGTGCTCGCGCCTGGGCAGAGACTCACCGTGAAGGCGACAGCCCCCGGCACGGCTGCTCTGTGATTTTCCAAAGTGGCCACACGTGTCAGTAAATCTGCGCGATGAGCAATAGAGCGGCTGCTTGATTTCCAAAGGCGGGCTTTCCTAGAAGTCTCAAGTCGTGCTAAATCATGCAGAAATATCTTGTGTGTGCACGAGCCCCAGGGTGAGGTTGACAGGTTCTTTCTCCCTAGATGCCGGTTTGCGGGGGCACCCCAGAGTTGGTGGGGACCGGGAGCAGTTCCGCACCGGGAATGATACCCACTCCTGGCTGCGCCCGCCGGGTTCTGACAGCCGCCTGCCATTGTGCCGCCTCCGCCTTGGCTGGCGGCGCCAGGGCCCCCTGCTCAGAAGCCCCCGGCACAGGGCAGAACCTCGGGCAGAGGGGAGAAGGGGCTTCGGCACTGTGTGTCGATAGGGCTCTGCAGGTAGCCCGCCCGAAGCAGGGTCTTCCAGAGTTTCCTGCCGCCTCCCCCGCACCCCCCAGGATAGAGGGAATTTATGGTGCGCCCTTCCTTTCTCTGTCTCCTGGGTTTGGCTTGCTCTGGAGGATTTTATCTGCCCGTGGCCTAATCGTGGCGCTGCCCAGTGTGGTAGCCACCGGCCCAGCGTGGCTCTCGAGCTCTAGAAATGTGGCTCGTCCCACCTGAGATGTGCTCCAAGTGTAAGATGCTCACCACATTCAGAAGCCTGAGCACGAAAGATAAAGCAGGTGAGATGTCTCGTGAATACTTGTTCACGGTGGTTACATTCTGAAAGTGTGGTATCTCAGCCGTACTGGGTGGAATCCTGCGTGTCGTCAGGACTGACTTCAGCAATGTCTTCTTTCCTTAAATGAAAACGATGTGGCTGGCTCCCGCCCATTGCTGGCACCGGGCAGTGCCGGTGTGGCCTGGAGAGTGATGGGTTGTGCCGTTTCCCCCAGATCGAGAGGCAGGAAATGCTGTTGGAGGAGCTGGTACCCGTGGGACCCGCGCACGTACCGCCGAACGTCCACCTGGAGTCGCCCCCACTGCAAGTGATGGGACCCGCCCCGGACGCCCCCGTGGCGGAGGCCTGGATGCCCCAGGCGGGGCTGCCGGAGCTGGGCTACGGTGCTGCCGAGGATTGCCGGCCCTTCCTGGACCCTGGTAAGGCAAGGGGTTGACTTCCTTTCCGCGGTTCGTAGTTTGAGAGCTGGAGAGCTCCCCAGCTTTGGGGGTGGGTTGGAAACACCGAGTACTGGGTGGAAGCGGACCACGGCGATAAAGGGTGGGAGGAGGGATCCCTCTCTGGGAACAAAGCGCGGGACATCACGTGGGATTCAAAACCCCTTCAGCTCATGACCCCGCTCAGGAACATTTTGACAAAGAATGTTACGCAGGAAACCCTGGGGAGTATGGATACTCTGGATAAGGCTGATTTTGCCAGCACATTTTAATTAATGGGATCTGTGATGTTGTGGGTTCCTCAGTTGCTCTTATGGCCTAAGAGCCTTGTTCAGATTGGTACTTTATGAACATACTCGCTTCAGATCCTTGAAGACGATTTAATCACGTACCAGAGTATAAAGCTAATACTTAGCTCATTCGATCAGAACCTACGAGAGCATTTCTCCAAGTGTAGCAAGCAGCCTATGTGTATCAGGGTCACCTAGGGTGCATTTTCTCAAGCTCTCTGGGTGAGACCTATATGCACCACAGTCTGAGAACCTCTGCTGCTGACCCTCCTAGAGTTTATACTAGAAGGAGAAGGTCCAGGCAGAGAAAGGCAGCTGGACTTCATAGCTCTTGTGTCCCTGTGTTTCACTTCCCTTTGGGGATTCTCCCACAGTGCTACCAACAATTCCTGTCTCTACCCAACACCACTCTGCTCTCCCCGCCCCCATGAACTTTGGCCCAAGTGTGGCCAGAAACCTCCTTTCTAACTCTCTCAGGCACCGCTTCAACATGTTGGCATTTTTAAGACACTGAAATGCTGAGAAAACAAAGAGACATAAAAAATGAACATACCGAGAATAGTCCGAGTTACAAAACGTTAGTATCTGGTCGATCCATAACCAGCCCAGTGCCTGGGCTTTGAAACCATGTCCCTTTCCACATCTTAACGTTTATTCATTCAACCACGAGCACGTATTAAGAACTAGGCACTGCTTAAAGAAAAAGAAAAAAAGAACTAGGCACTGCTCCGATATGTAAATAGGACTGTAGGTCCTGTACGTGGTGTAAGTAGGACTGGCAAATGCTATGGGGGTCTATAGGAGGGCTGCCTGATCAGCTCAGGGCAGACAGGGAAGTTGTCCTGGAGGAAGGGAAACCTACGGGGTGAGTTGGAGTAAGCCGCTGGCTGGGGGAAATGGAGAGGGGAGAGGGCTCTGGGCAGAATGCTCAGCATGTGTGCTGAGAGGGGCACAGAGGAGCTTGAGCGGCCCTCAAGAGGCTGGAGAGAGAAGCAGCGTCCTGGGTCACGAACAACTTTGGGAACCATTTGGGAGGTCGTTGCAATCACCACAGGTGAGAGGATGATTTTCTAAACTAGGATCGTGTTGATGACGATGGAGTGAAAAAAGTGGGACCAATTCAAAAGCTCAGTGGCCTGTGTAAAATTCAGGACTTGGTGCTCGGCTGGGCTTTGGGTGATAGAGAAGAGAGCATTGAGAACAGCATCCAGGTTTCTGGCTCGTGAACTGGGTAGAACACAAGAAGAGAGTCAGATGTGGGGGGGGGCGGGGGTCAAAGTGAGTTTCGATTTGAACGTGAGGAATTTGAGAGGCTTATGGGTCTCCAGGTGGCCAATGTGGAATCAGAGCTCAGGAGAGAGATTGGGGTTTGGGATAGAGGTGTGCAAGCCAAAGGCTTAGAGGAGGTGACAGAAGCTTCTAAGATGGTCGAGGTCTTTGGGGGATTGTGTAGAATAAGAAAGCACGAGGTCCTCTGGGCACAGCCTGGGAGAGAACATGTCAGAAATGACCATTTTATGTGGATTCAAAGCTCTCTCAAACTTGCAGTGACTTTGTCTGGCTTCCCTGCTTTCCAGGGCCCTCTCTGGCCACCTGAGAACATCTCCTAGACACTCTGACACATTTGCTCTTGAAGCTAACAGATGATTCTCCCTCCGGTGCTTACCTCTGGCTCCCCCCCGCCCCATCTCTTCTGGTTTCTGTTCGGAGTGCCACCTCTCTTCTCCAGGTCCCTGGCCCACTATGGGGGAGGCACAGGCGGGATTCCACGCTCTCCTTGGAGGCAATGGCTTGGTCCTTGCACACCCAACACTAGGACTGTATGTTGTCTATGCAGTTCCATAACTCCCATAGAATTCAACTCCTGCCATTACGGTGGGCTGCTTGGCGACCACTTTGTGCCCCTTTCTACAGTTAATCAGTTTGTCCAGGTACCGTATTCTGTAGCTTACTCTAATGAGTCCTGGGGATGTAGAAGACATGGACTCTGTCTCGTTTTTAATTGAGGTGAGAGAGGGGGGTGCGTGGCTGGCCCATGCAGATGGGAGAACATGTGGCTCTTGATCTCAGGGTTGTGAGTTCGAGCCCCGCGTTGGGTGTAGAGCCTACTTAAAAAAAAAAAATAGCGGTGACAGAGGAAAAACCCACAAGTACGTATGTGTATCTATTATGGTCAAAGCCAAACTATATAAAATATTGTTTTTTATATTCCAGTCTTTGCCTGACCTACATCTCTGGTCTGTCGTCAAGGTATGTAAAATCTGGGTTCTGTGTATATGCCTGCGACCAGTGGCAGAACCTAGCCAGTCATATTTAAATATAAATCTTTCTGCATGTGCATCCCCATTCCCCATGCTAATTTGCTCCTCTTAGCAACAGCGCCAAGTACCAAGATCACATACGATGCCCAGCAGCAATATTGTTCTTGGCTGTAATACTTTGCTCTCTAGAGCACAGGAAGGTCCAGTATATTCAACAAGATATAGGCTGAATTCAACAAATAAAATACACCTAGTGGCAACAAAGGCAAGGACCCCTTTCTCATCGCTGTTTAAGGTGATATAATATGCTTCATCCTACTGACTGGGAGGTCCTCATGTCTACCTCCCGATCACCAAAATCCCATCCTTCTTACCGCTTGGAGAAGGTCTGAGAGATCTGGGGATGGAGCAAGGAAAAAGATATGACCAGGAGGTGGCAGTAGGGAGCACAAGGTTTGTGGCATCGCTGGGGTTTGCTTGCTGGAGAAGTCCGGAGTCCCAAAGGGAGGACAAGGGAACTCCCCAGGGAGTAAGGGCTCACAGAGGGGACTTGTGTCTATCATGATCTTATAGCCCAGTAGCACACCGGGCAGTTGATGGGCCAGAGAATTCTGAAGGGCTGCAGAGGCGTGGGGTTATACAAAGACTGATGAATCCCAGACCTGTGCCTC